TTCTTTGTATTTAATTTAATTTCTTATCTACTAGAATTCTTGTTTCTAAATTTCTTAGATTCTTTATGATAGGATAGTTAATTACTCTCGGTTTATCTCAATTCTTTCTATTCAATTCTTTCTTAGATTTTAAGGAAGAGCTTTCTCAACAAAATTTTGTTAGAATCCTATTAAAGAAGTCAAGTGTTCTTGACCACACCAAAGAAAAAATCCAATGCTTCTATGATAAGTATCCAGCACAGAAGAAGGTTTCCTAGTCAAAGTAGAAAACAGAAACTAATTCTTGTATTAATAGTGTAGTTTCATGACTTTGGAGGAAACAACCGAAACTCAAACTAATTTCAATACAATTTTTAATCCGTTACAACATAATTTAATGAAAGATTCTAAACACCAAACTGGCAAAATTAACAGCTTAGTTCCAAGAAGATTTGGAGGATGAAACATAGGCATAAAAAGATGCATGAGGCCCTTTAAGGAATAGTCATTATGTGAAAATAAAATAATTTTATTCTATTATGACTAATATATATAGTAAAAAAATTTACAAAAAGCGAGGAGGATAACAGATAAATTATTTCTATTTGTTGAAACATAAAGGAAAAAAAAAACAAACTCTATTGGGAACAAAGTACCTAATATTCATATGGTAATCCTGAATCCTGAATCCTAAAACCTAAAAAATTAAATTTCTCTAAAACTACTATTTCTCTCCTACATTGCATTTTAAAAAAATTTCATCAAAAAACAAACATTTTTAGCCACTCATTTCACATTTATGGAAAACTAAAGCTGTTTTTCCCTGCAAAATAAAATGAATCACTTCTTGCCGGTTTGAAACAAATTAAAATTATGATCACATACCCACATACCTAAAAGGAGATATTTTGCAAGAACAAACAAAAAAAGAAAAATCAACAGTCAACTCTATATGCATAATGAGGTGCACCTGAAATCTCATGAGAAAATGGAGGATTGAGCTTCAACTCCCCCAAGCTTCCTTGATGTTATCAGGCCCGCTCTCGGGCGCAAATGTCGCAGGCAAGGTACCGCGTAACCTTTTCTCCAGAACCACATCACCGTTCCCCATCTTTCTCCAGTTTAAATTGACCCATCAAATCTAATCCCTTGGGCAACCAAACGACTAAAAAAGAAATTTTAAAAAAATAATAAGTTCAAAAATATAAGAAACAACATAACAAGCCATTGAGAGATAACGAGAATATAAAGAAAAGAAAATAAAAAAACCTTTGAACTGAAGTTTTGAGGGGAACCAAGAGGAGAAGATCGAAGGATGTTGAGAAAAGCGATTGGCATCGTCGGGTGTAGAAAATGAAGGTCTTAATGGTGGAAGTTTAGAGTGTCAAGATCATTGAAGAAAAATGGCTAGGGGGTGTTGGGGGTTATTCTTTTTGGTGTTTCAAATTATCAGATTTCATGTTGGGGCTTGGAGGGAAACGGTAAGAGGAGAAACTGAAATGATGGAGGAGATAGATTTTCTTCATCTTTATAAGGTGAGGCGGGAGGCAGAAAGATGGCGTGCTCGAGATGAAGAGCACCGTGAAGAAAAGAAGATGTCGTGTTCGAGTTTGTCAATGATTTCAGCTATAAATGTAGCCGAAGTTTAAGTGGAAAATGGCACGAAATTTGAGAAAAAATAAAGAGAAGATGGCATTTCAAATCATCAGATTTCAATTTTGGAGGGCAAACGAATAAGAGAAGTGAGTCTTTTCATTCTTTTTTCTTTTTCTTTTATGGGTCAGTTTTTCCTGGTGCATGAGAAAATGTCAGATGCATTGAAAATATATATACAGAGAGAGAGAGAGAGAGAGAGTAAAAGCAAGGTTTATTGCAGTTTTTTCTATACACCATTCACTGCTTAATGGTGACTACATTTCTTTTCTCAAAAAATATATATTTTATTTCCCTCTCTGTCTTCTCTTCTCTCTTCAAGATAACTACCACCGTAAATATATACAATCTGTACATACAAATGGCTACTGTTTGTAAAAAGCTGAGCAGTACCAATTACTCCCCTCATAAGTACCATTACTATGGAACAACATTGAGCAAAAAATTTCTCTAAGACGAGATTGTTTAAAACCCAAAATGATTTTGCACAGATGCTCCGATGAACCCTTCATTGACTTGAAATAGTAAGATAAAAAAATCTCTTCAGGTTATGAATAATTAAAAATGCTGCTATTTTAATCAAGAAAAGAGCTATAACGCAAAAAGAAGAAAACATAATTTTTCTTTATAAGCATCAGGAAATACAGAAACAAGAAGAAATTGCTCTGGAAAAGATGAGAGTCATAACCTAATCATATGAAGATTTTCTGTGGTTGCTTGTGGGAGAATAGTAATTTTTGAACACTAACCTGTCTCTGTTCTTTTATGCCTCTCTCTCTCTCTCTCTCTCTCTCTCTCTCTCTCTCTCTCTCTCTCTACATGGCTTGCAGGTTTCAATAAATATTGTAAAAGAAAACATAGCCAAGAAGAGAAGTAAGGGGTTCCTTTTTTGCGGGTCTTATAACCCATTTTTAGGTTTTTTCTGTTCCTCTATCAAGAAGAAACAGAATCGAGAAGAGAATGAAGAGAATCCATTTCTAGGTTCTCTCTCTGTCTCTCTAGAAACTGAAAGAAGAAACAGAAACGAGAGGAGAATGAAAAAACCCATTTCTATGTTCTCTCTTTCTCTCTTTAGAAATGGAAAAAAGAAACAGAATGGAGGAGAGAATGAAAATACCCATTTATGTGCTTATGAATCTTCTTCTTCTTCTACCGGCTGATATATTTCTACTCTGCTTCTCTTCTCCCTTACTTTCTCTTCTCTACCAGGTTCTGGATATTTTGAAAGAAGAAAGTGTTGAGGGTTTTTAAAGGTTCAAATTAGAATCTTTTTTTTGGCCGATTATCTCATAACAGTTTATAATAAATTAAATAATTTGAAATTGTTGATGTAATAGCAATTTAATTTCATTTCATTTCATTATATTTAATTGTTACATCAGATCTGAGTTCATTTTCACTTGCTTAAAATCAAATTATGAATTAAACCTTATATTATCTTCTTCCCACCGCCTTTTTCCTTTTAAAATTCAATCTTCCTCGTGCCTACAAGTCTTCCCTCAGAGGAAGATAGAGATACAAGCAGAGTTCATAAATTTTTATTTTTCCTGCTTAATTGTTTAAATATTTTCAATTTTTTTTTTTAATATAATTTTTAACAAATCATAGTGTGGAATTCACCTATGATTGCTAAAATAATTAGGGAAAACTGGGAACAATCAGCAAAAAAAATTACAAAAAAAAAAGAACGGACCAGATGGATTTTGTCATTATCAATTAAATGTTATATGCATTGACCCAACATCCACAACCAGAAACATTCAGTTAATAATGCTGGCTTTTCCCTCTAAGATCAGAACCTTTGTCATGACAGGTTTTCTTACAAAATAATCAGAATCTACACTCTGTTAAATTACCGTTCACAAAAAGGCAATTGTTCCGAAGTCTTCCCCCCTCAGCCCCCCAAAAAATGATCGAACTATCTTGAACAAAAGCCAACAAGTAGCAAAATAATATGGGCCTACAAGTAAAATTTCCATACCTTTTGTTGAGACTTTTCCTCGCAACTGAGTTGGAAGCTGTTTTACTCTCTAGTTCAGGGGCTTCAATTACAACATTTTTTGCTGAGTAGCTTGACAGCCACCGATTTTGGTTTTGGCGGATCAAAATTTGCCGTTGTTGATTCACGGTCCCAAATAGCTTTTCGCGAATAAACTTGTTGAAAATTCTAGCAGATGAACCATAAACCAGTAAAAAGAGATAAAGAGAGAGAGTATTATACTATTATTATTGATAAAATTCTACATTAAAAAAAAAGGGATGGAGAGAAAGATGAAATAGATGATACAAAAATTCTAAATTCGCAGAGGGGAGAGAGAGAAATGTAATTTGCCCTTATGAGCACCTCAAATAATATTTTCTTGTTCTTTCCTTATAAGAAAACAGATGAAGAAATTATATATTTAAACCAATTGTAGAAATACCACCTACGTATACTCAATGATAAAATACATGTTTATATATATATATATTAAATTAATGTATATAATAAAATTAGAAAAATAGAAAAATATATTTAGTGCCATATTGTTGTTAATGTATAAATTTTAATTATATAAGGTGAGAGAAACAAAAACTAATTTGGAATTCAAAATTTTCAGTTTAGTTATAAGGATTTGGTTAGTTAAGTTGATTTTAAATTTTTTTTAACGGAATAAATAGATACTATTAAGTAATTATATTGATTGTTCAATATACTCCTAACTAAATTATTGAATTTAATTAGTCACATATATTAACTATAAGATAACAGCACAATAAATTTATGGCTGACTTTATTGCATATAAACTTACTTTAAGGAGAAAAAACTCCAATTCGTCCTAAACTTATGACACGTTTGAATTTTGATTTTTTGTTAATTTGTTTGGATGATATCGAGTTTCCGGATTATTAAATCTAAATTCAAATCATCCATTTTATTACATTAATATCAATATAAATATCTATACTAAACAAAATTAAAATGTATTTATTAATATATTTAATATTATATTATTATTTAATTTATTATATAACATACTATATTTAATAATATAAATATATCATATTTATTTTAATAAATTGACATATATAACAAGTTGATTTCAGATGAATGTTGGAAGATTACAACCAAAGCACCTCAAGCTGCCACCTTTTTTTTTTACTAACTCAAACTCGACCTGAACCCAAAACCCTAAATCCAAAACCCAAAATCTTAAATCTTAAACTCTAAAACTCTAAACCCTAAAACTCTAAAACGCTAATGATATTTACTCATGTTTCCTCCTAGTTTTTTTATTAGATATTGGTTGTTAATAAAATTATTCATCAAACTACTAATTTTTTGACAAACATGTTGCAACCTTCTCCTTCGTTGTTAGATGTCTCTTTAAGAAATTGATATTTATAGATTTTTAGTTCCTTCATTATACATTTGAATGTTGATGAGACAATAAAGAAAGAAAGAGTAAGAAATTTTGGAATAGAAGATGAAAAATTTGAACTTATCTTCGAAGTTAGTTTTTCCCATAAAATATTTTTTCATATTAACTAATAATATTTTTATATATACAAAAAATATATGTATTAATTATATATATATGAAAACATTTAAATGACACGATACTTTTAGTAAAAAAACGATTTAAGATTGAACAAATGATTGTAACTATTAATTGATAATTAGTTACATACTAATATTTACACATTTGATTTAGATGAGTGGTTTTGGTTTACAATATTGTGATTTATTAATTTAATTAATTATAAATTTGATAATAAAATTATTATAAATTTAATATTTGTTTCTATTAACTTAAAATGATACTTGGGAAGAAAATTAAAAATAAAAGAACAAAACAGACAATTTCGTAGTAGTTTCCTCTTGATTTCTTATATATTGGTTTTGAACACACTAAGTAAAGTTTTGATTTGTCAATATTTTATGAACAAACTGAAAATAATGTTAATTAGTTGAATTTGGTTAATTTTGGATATTAATCCAAAAGATCATGAGTTTAGATCATATTATTGACAATTTTATTTTAATTTTCACATTTTGTCTGTACATAACGATGCAAATAGGATGGATTTTTCAAGGTATGTTTTAAAAAAATATTTTTGTCATTCTCAGCTATCATGTGGCATAGACACCAAAACAATAACGTCTTTTAAAGAAAGTGATTTTTTTAGAAATCTTTTAGAAGTATGAAGATTAGTTTAAAATAAAAGAAACTCTGAGTTTGTAGTATATATATATATATATATATAATTGTGTTAACTATTTAATCAAAGAAATGAGTTAGAAAAGCTCATAGTTATTAGTTCTTCCAACACATCGGTAGTCATTGAACACGTTTTAGCCGCCATGCATATGGAGAAACAAACAAGAGAAGGTGTCCTGTGCATACATATTTATATATGCGTATATATATATTAAATTTATGTCTATCGAGCCTGAGGACCAATTTCAACACCGAGATTAAGAGGGATGATATCAAAAGAGGTAAATGATGTAATGTCACGAGATATTTTAGTCTCCAAACACTCATTCAACTCAATCACAACATGGTTCATAGGTGGCCTCTGGATTGAAGTTGAAGGTACACATGACATGGCTATCTCCAAAGCTTTCCACACTGAATTCATTTCATAATTCTCTTCCAGTCTCGGATCAATTATCCTTCTGATATCTTTTTTCTCCATAAACAAACTCACCCATTTTGTTATGTTTGTGTTTTCATGGGTTTGTATCACTGCAGGCTGTCCCGTAATTAGCTCCAATAGAACCACACCAAAGCTGTATACATCACTTTTCTCCATTAACCTCCCAGATGAATAGTATCTGCACCATTCTTTGAATTAATAATTATATATACATGTGTGTGTGTGTGTGTACATATATCATATTTTGTGAAATGTTAAACTTACTTTGAGTCTAAATATCCCACTGTACCAGCAATTGAAGTCAATAAATGGTTGCCACTTTCAACTGGAAAGAATTTTGAGAACCCAAAATCAGCAATCTTTGCTTGTATTTTTTCATTCAGTAAAATATTTGCACTCTTCACATCTCTGTGGATTATTGGTGGATTGCACCCACGATGCAGGTATTCTAGCCCTGCACCATATATATATATATATATATATATAGAGTAAATAGAGTTTCAGTGAAACAAAAGTGAAGTAAATATGTACATAAACCAATTGTTCTTGCTGACCTTGTGCTGCGTCAACTGCAATTTGGGGTCTCTCTTTCCAACTCAATACTTGATTTGCTTCAGCTGAGTTTTTAGAAACTAAAGTAAAGGATTCTGTTTTTCTAAACACCAAAAAATTAAAGTGGACAAGAGGAGAGATTAGGAAACTACCTGATAGATACTGCTCTAAGTATCCATAAGACATGTGCTCATAGACAATCCCAAAATTAGTACTGTCATGGCAGTATCCGACAGGTAGTTAAGTTTTTATGATGAACACGCATCAACAGCTGAGCCTGTGGTGTACATAACCCAAGTTGGAAACTTATATTTTGAAATAGGAAAAGAGGATTTGACTCTAGTTTTAAATATCAACCTCGGTTCGAAACTGTTATGACCCTTGAGCTGAGAAAGAAGAAAGCATTTTGACAGCAACTTGCATTCCATCATCCAGTTTACCGTGGTACACTGTTCCAAATCCTCCTTTCCCAACAACAGTTTCAAAGTTATTGGTAATACTTACAATTTCAGTGTATGTAAACTGTCGATTATCTGATTTCAGAGATCCTTGTTTGAACTTGAGTAGAAAGTGTTAAGCTATCAAGAGCATGTCACTTATGTCATTAAAGTCTATGTTACAAAAGTTTCAAAGAATTTTTTCATAACATTGAATATTTTCAATCGTTTCAGCATATATTCCTCTATTACCTTTTTTCCTTTTGAATATCCTTCGAAAAAAAAATGCAACAACCAATAAGACTACCAATGAGATTATGACTGCAACAACTGGCACTACAATGTTTTTCTTCTCTTTTCTGCATGGAGGCGAGAGACAAATATCCGGATTCGCTTCAATACTGTCATTAGAATTAACCTTAGGAGGGGAAGTCATTATAAAAGTTGGAGAATCGAAAAATGACCAAAATTTGAATATGTTATATTTTGCATATAGTGAAACAGTTAACAAGTAAACAAGTTTTACCTCATGTATATTTCTTGATTGAAGAGTGAATGCTCGAGCTAACCCCATATCTGCTATCTTAAGTGATATTGTCTGTCGATCTATTAGGAGATTGTGAGGCTTAAGGTTCATGCGATGAAAACACAATTTCCTTATCTGATTTAAGTGAAGATTGAAGAAAATGCCTATGTAACACTCCATGGGCATGACAGTAATGTATAATTGAGACTGATTTGGGCTTAATGGGCCTTAATTAATTCAGGTGGTTATGTCCATTTATTTTGGGTCTTATGCCATTTTCGTTAATTCATTTTGTGCTTTAGGTCTTGTAAATAATTTAGGCTATTTTGAACTATTTATTTCTGATTTTAGCTATCCGGGGCAATTTATTCTTAGGTTTAGGCGCCTAAAATAATTTAGGCTATTTGGGTAACTTTTACATAATTTGGTTTGGGCCAATTTGATGGGCTTAATGGGCCTTTTACAATGTTTACCAATTTGATTTGGGCCTTGGGCCTTGGGCCTTTTACATAATTTGGGTCACCTTTTTCCTGCATATGTCCAGCACTACCCTTTTCATAAAATATTAAATATAATGCAAAAAAATTATCTTATAAGAAAAATCAACTTTTGCTAATTTTATTTGACAACTTCTTTAATTTTAACCAAAAAAATTATAAAATTATGAAATGCTGACCTCTAAATTGCATATTTCGTAAGATGAAAGTGAACTTTTATTATACCTTTTAATCAAATACGAAAAAATTTATCCTTATTATAATTTTTGATTTATTAATAAAAAATTTAAGGATAAATTATTTTTCAATTAACATAATAAACTATGAATTTAAGATTTTTACTGGAAAATTAAATTACAAACTTCACTCATATTGGGAAAAAGAAAACGAAAAAGAAAAAGAAAAAGAAAAACTCTCTATCTGTTCGCTTCGAAAATCGTCATTGATCTCTCTCTCTCTCTCTCTCTCTCTCTCTCTCTCTCTCCCGAATATAATTTCTCTTTGGTGACCTTTTTAACAATGCCCTCTTGATCACACTTCGCCATTTCATGTCTCTCCCCACCAAACGCTCAATCAGCTCCAATACCTCCACCACCAGCAACCCCACCAGCAGCAGCAGCAGCGGCAGCGGCAACGGCAGTCCCCGTTCCCCACCCATGAAGAAGGCCAAGTCCCAGGCCGTTGCTTGCTCTCTCGACCCCAACAAGAACGGACTTCACCACTCTCACCAAGACTTCAACGCGGCCACCACTGCCCTCGAGAACGATGTCGTCTTCGATCCTTCCTCCATGGCCCTCGACGAAGATCTCAAGCCCGAACCCCTCGCCGCCGCCAATCTCTCCCGCAAGAAGGCCACCCCGCCTCAGCCTGCCAAGAAGCTCGTAATCAAGCTCCTCAAAGGTATACTATTCCTTCCTTTTTATTTTATTATATGGGTAAATTTAATTGGATAATTTTATAATTTTTCTTTTGTTTTTTGAAGGATCTTCCACCTTATGTGGTTCTTTTTCTTTCGTTTTTCTGATTGGTTACTTTATTTGAATTCTTCTGCAAATTTTGACCCTTTGATGGGATGCGAACTTAGCTTGATAGTTGAACATCTTTATTATGTGAAATGTAAGATGTTGTAAGAGTTTGATGCAAGTTATAGAATTGAGCTTAGACTTGCTCGGGCTTCTTTATCAGTGAGTAGTTGTTTTTCTTGGATTAAGTTCGAGCAAAATTTAATCCTTGATTGAGGATAGGCTATTTAGATATTGTTCGACTCCATTTCAGTGTTAGTTGTATAGCTTCGTTAAGACGTGCATTTGCGTATTGTTCACGTTTTGGGGGGGGGGGGGGATTTAAGATGGATTGTTTACATTACAACCCTGCTTCTCTTGCTTTCTCTCATCTGACTGGAGAGCATGCTTGTTAAATG